GTTCATTGAATTTTGCTGTAGGAAAACGACCGTGCTGTCTAAGAAAATTAAAAATGTTCGAAAAAGTTTGATGGTTAGGCAGTCGGCGTCCTGGAAACCTTCTCTCATATTCCCTTACAGCGGCTCGACTATTACCATTACAAAATCCGTATACAAACAAAATATCGGCATATTCTTCGTTGGAAAATTGATAAGGCATTTCTAGATTTGGTTATTTAACACCAATGTTTGCAACAAAGAAACTTTAATGAATAGTCTATTAAACTTATGTATTAGCTGTCAAAAACTTTCAACTGTTTTCTTGCTTTCTAGATAAAGTTATTTATAAAATAGAGAATACATAATACATGTGAAAAAATAAAAAAATAATCCTAAGGTTGGCAATCCAAAGAATTTATTGAATGGCTTATTTGATAAAATAGTTGTCATTTGATCAAATATTAGGTTGTTTTAATAGTTAGGTTTTTCTTGAGTTATTCCCTTTATTTAGGAAATAAATTTAAATATTTAAATACAATAAAAAGTTAACTGTATGAGTAATAATTACTAAGTTATGTTTAAAATTGAATCTTGCTGTTAAACTCATTTTTGTTAAGTAGAAATAATATTTTTAATCTTTAATTTCCTTATTTTTCATTATACAGGTTATTTAAAAAATTATTGGTTTAGCTAACTATACAGGCCTGTAATTTATTTCTAATATTAAATCAAAGACTGAAACTAAGACTAAAATTGAGATATTTGAAAAGTACTTACTTAAAAAAGTAATATTTTCCATGTTTTATAATCAAAAAATCGTGTTTAAATTCTGAAGTTAACAAATTTTTAAAAATATCATTTTTTATCAAAAAATGAGTGCCTCTAAAACGACATGCTCAAATTTTAAAAGACACCTACCCAAATTGATTTTTTACGCTCTTTTAAGATGTTTAATCAGATATGTTAAATTTGCTCATACAGGGTGTTGTTTTTGAAGCGGACAGAAATGCTCAAATTTTGTTAAGCCGGACCTGGAATCTAATTATTATTTTTACGGAATTACTTTTGTTATAGTAAAATGAGTCTACCTGGCAAATTTTTATTTTTTATACCGAGTGGTTGTTGAGTTTTGGCTAAAAACAAATTCAGGCGAAATTCATAATCATATCTGGGTAATGAGATGTGATAGACCTATTAATAATGGATGATTTCGAAGCACCCAAGTGTTCCACACCTACAGTTAACGTATGTACATTACATTCTGAAACACCCTGTATATGTTAAACAGAACAGGCACAAGCAGTATTGAACAAAAAACTCTCTTTCAACTTTGGTACGGGAAAGTAGCCAAAATAGATTATTTCAGAGTTTTTGGTACATAAGTTTTTACCCATATACCAAAAGAAAAACGGAAGAAATGGGATCCGAAAAGCAAAAAGGCCATTTTTGTCGGATATTCGGAAAATACAAAAGGTTACAGGGTTTGGTTTCCCGAAGAAGATAGAGTTGAGTTAGCAGAGATGTAATTTTTAAAAATGAAGTAGGAAATTACGAAATACGAAATAGTGTTAATTGTGTTAATGAACAAATACAACCTTTTGAAAATTACATTTTTCTAAATCTAAACTTTTAACTTCTCGATTTGTTTTTATATATCCATAGGTGTTAGTTCTATTTTAGCCAATCTAACCTCACTTAATCATTTATTTATTTAATGTCAGCGCACATGTCACCTATCATTATTTAGTCAATCTGTCAATTCTTCTTTTCTTATGACTGATAAAGTTGAATCAGGAAACAAGCAACTGGGTATGTAATTAGATACTCATTTGTACTCTGCCCCATCACTTATATCTTTAATTATTTATCAAATAAGATATTATTCTTTATCATATGTATTTGTAACGGTTAGATTCATAATCTGACTGACTTTAATTTTTAATTGTATATTCCATTTCGTATTGTTAATTTATAATTCAACTTCAAAACTGACATGCGCACTTTGCCCATGTTAGTGTAACCGCCATTTTATGTATGGTGCGACATTATTGTTCAGCCTTCATTTCGAAAGTGATTCAGTTTGTTTTACAAAGTGTTTCTTCTAAGAATTTGTTATCCACTTTCACAGGTGTGGCTTTTGTGAAAATCAAAAAGGAGTCTGCAGGTTCACTCCTATTTTCTCCAACTATTTCTCATCTTTCTACCCTTAGTTGGGCGGCTTGTATTTAAGGCCAAATTGGATGGCACTATAATTATTACTGGTGGAGAATCCACTTTAATTCCCGAGCTTCATAATGACGATTGCAGTTTAAGATTCCACTTCAACGATAGGAATAGCCAGATTGGCCATTCTATCTGTCTTCTACTAGCTCCACAACAAATTTTAGAGCAATACCAATCCGCGGTCATCCACAAGCCCAATTTGTGGAAGCCTCAAAAACAATTTGAATTGATCACCCCACTCTGGGGCGACTACCATTTCTTCAATTTTTCAAAAATTTTTTCAATTTCTTCTATTCCTCTCCCACATACATTTAAATAATTATAGTAAAAATTTTTAATCCCACTTTAAACATTACTCATTAATATCAACTGTACCTCTTGCACCTCATATGTTAAGTTAAATTTTATATAGTAGATTTAGTGTATCTACAATTTGTATTTCACCTTTAGAAACCAGCTAAGATCTTAGGTATGTATAATGTCTAGCTAATATTACCAACTTTGTTAAAATATCACTCAACTTGTTATAGGCTTGAAAATGGCATTGTAGCCGAAACCGGTCGCCTTGATCAATTAATATATATATATATATATATATATATATATATATATATATATATATATATATATATATATATATATATATATATATAAAATTCAAACTAATTTATTGGGGGCAGCAGCAATATATAATAAAGAAAACTCTTTAAAGATGATCCAAGCTTTCGGAAATTTTAATAACTTATTTCCATCTTCAGGGAATCTACAAAAGGTGTGGTGTGTCTTCATAGGAACATAATATTATTAAGAGAGTGAGTTACTTACATCTTTGTGAGGATGAATTATTAATTATGTTAAATGTTATGATTTTGATGCACATATAGAATTAAAATTACACAGTTTTACAATATAACTTAAAATTATTGTGGTTTAAATTCAGTTTGAAATTTAACTGTTATGTCAATTTTTGTGTCATTCGTTGTTTATGTATACAAGTGTGTTAGATTAAATATAGAAATTACTAATAAGGAACTTAGTTAGGAAGATTACTTTGTACTTAAATTATTATTTAATAAAATTTCCGAAAGCTTGGATCATCTTTAAAGAGTTTTCTTTATTATATATTGCTGCTGCCCCCAATAAATTAGTTTGAATTTTACATTACTATTCAGCAAAGACTACCCTTCCACTCTATATATATATATATATATATATATATATATATATATATATATATATATATATATATATATATATATATATATATTGATATAGAAATTCCTGACGTCATCAAAATTAATATTTAAATTGAGCAATACTGGGGTGGTGAAGTATCTTGAAATCAAAATTCAAGTTAAAATCAAAATGTCGGGATTTTTGTTGATTATTTTTGGAAAATGTCAGAAAGAAGTTAGTTGTCAGAGGGAAATTGATATAAAAAGATTAATAGATATAAAATGTTAAATAAAAATTAAGATTATATTAGAATAATAAAGAAATGTTAAAGACTGGGATATTACAATAAAGAAGGTTGGAAAAATAAAGGTAAAGAATTTTATTTAGAAAGTGAGAAATATTATATAGAACCAGAGATAGAGAAAGAGTAGCAGGGAGAGATACCAGGGAGAGATATTAAAAGAAACACGACAGAGACAAGCAGATAGATACAAACAGCACACATAGGTAGGGTCAGAGACAAGCAGATACGAGCAGCACACACAAAAAAGAGATAAGAAGACAGATAGACGCAGAGAAGATTAAAGAATTTAAAATTTATTTTTTATTTATTAATTAAATTTGGTAAATAATATTTTTATGTAAATTTTTAGAGCCGAACCACCCCTTTTAAGAGTCTGGGCAAATCTATTTAAAATATTGATATACAGGGGGTTTCTATATCAATATATATATATATATATATATATATATATATATATATATATATATATATATATATATATATGTGGGATTGATTTGGAGTTGTTTTATTTTCTCATTTAAAAATTATCTTTAATATTTGAACAAATACTACTCAACCTAAGCCCGCTCTGATCAACATGTTGACGAACGATTCAAGAAGTTGCCAGATCATTGCACTTTCTAGATTATCATGCAATGGACTATACACAGACTTAACCTTCACCTGGCATGCTCATCCTGAGTAATATACCTGGACTCGTGGGGTACGTACGAACCCCAATGATAAAAATCTTTGTAAAACTTGAAATATTGTCTCAAAAAAATTCAGAGATCCTCTTGAGACACCACTTTAAACTGTACAATAGTACAACTGTACAATGGGACATCCTGTATATTTGTTAATAAATAATCATTAACAGGGTCTTGCCTAAAATTTTGTATGTATCAAGGGCGTAAAACAGGCGTTTATGGACGTTACGTGTTAATAGCCCTCGCCTGGCGGCTCGGGCTCTTATTTACACGTTGCGGTCCATAAACACCTGTATTACGCCTTTGATACATAAATAACTATTATCATATTTAACTAATAATAATATTGTTATAACTGTAACATGTAACAATTTAGTATCAAACACATTTACAAATACTTTAAGAATACCACATGTATTCATATGATTATAAATGAATACGTTAAGACATCAAAATTTTTACTTTTTGCAAATGGCATGAAACTATAAAAATATATAAAACATTTAAGTGGTGTGTGTAGTGTCAATGCCTGCCATCGACGTCATCGATGACGTGCATTGGATTTTAAACTGAAAACCAGTATGGTTTGTCTATTATCTACTTATTAAAAATTAATAATTGTGCATTAAATGAAATTGACCAGAATATCAAAACCAACAAATCCTTTTGAACATTCGGACTCGCTTTCGTCAGTAAGTAAAATTCAACAATTTTACTGCAACATTTATTTTTTTTTTCTTTTTACAGATACCGAAGCCGACCAACAGGAGCAAACAGAACACAAAAGACGTATAAATTACATCAAATGGAGTTGTTTCCTGATCGTAGCCATCCTTGGAATTTTGACAACAGTTAAATTGACACTTAAAAATCTTCAACAAGACATACAAGAGATCGTCGAACACCATAGAAATGCGAACTTTATTTCTATACCAGAGTGGGGTGGTGTAGTTGTTAATAGGACGCGTTTCAAGACTAATTTGTACCTGCCTGTACCGTTTGTCATTATCAGACATACGGGGGGCGCTTTTTGTCAAACACAATCAGAATGTAAAAGGTTGACGAAAGAACTGCAGTCGAAACACTTAGCATTAAACTACAGCGACATAGCTTATAATTTTTTAGTTGGAGGAGACGGAAGTATATATATGGGAAGGGGATTCTGGAATCCAAATATATATAGTAGGTTTAGTTATGACATAGCCATACACGGAAATTTTTTGTATGATCAGTTTTATGATTATATGGAAAATGTAACGAGGTTTATTATAGAAACTGGTGTTATGTTCGGTGCTATTGATCCATGTTATGTTGTTTTGTGTGAAAATCAAACGCAGAAGGTGGATAGTCCCGGCAGGAACATATACGAGAAAGTCAAATTGTGGGATCATTATCGTAATTATACTTTTCTTAATACACAGTTTCCTAAATGAATATTTTTAATGTCAAACTGACAAATGACAAGCACTGCAATTTTGCCAAATTTATTGAATAGTGCCCATGTCTGCGTTAAATATTTGCACGTGTACAGGATTTAATTAAAATATTTGCAAATAATAAAACGGCGAAGTCTGAGTTCTTTTTTCTTCCAAGATTAATCAACATTGTTACAGTAATCTAATTTACCACAAACATTTTTAATTAAGATTTCACCTGTGTGTAATATTATAGCCTGAATAAAAGAGGAGTGCAGTAAAAGTGGGGATATAACGTCACATTCCATAGGCGTACTTTGCGTAATAGTTTCTATAATATAAATAAGGTCACGGCATATAAAATGATATATCAAGTACGTATATTCGCTGTGTGCATTTGGCTTGGTGGGGATAGATTGAGCTATCGCAGCGCCTATGGTGGCAGGAGTCGGCGATTGTCCACATCATCGTAGTAGCGCGGCAGCAATAATAAATGGATTTCAACACAATTTTTATCTTGCATGCAATTCTACAAGATATTCTTTTTTCGTGACAGACGTTTGTCTAATGACACCAGCTCGGATAAAAAGGCCAACACCTGACTCTCTGTGCTCTTCGAGATTTATGACATGCCCAGCTTCTACCAAATCTTTACCTTTTCTTGGCGTTTCAGGCTGAAAGTTTATGTCATGAGATATTTTCTCAAATCCAGTGTACAAGATGACACTCATGACAAAAATGTAGCATCTAAAAATACAGACAAATTACATTGATTTATGACATTCAAAACGCAGATACTTCGTATGCATAACCTCCAAATATTTTTATGTCATTTACTTACTTTTTGTGCGACAGAAACAATTTTTGTTAGTCTATCAACTAACAGCGAACACAAAACACTTAATTGTTGAAAAAGAATTTTCAAGTTCAAAAGTTGAGTGTGAGGTGTATAGCAAGTATGCGGGAATGAATGAGGAGAACTGTCGCTATCCCGTCACCAGAGAGCGCTACCATTCTTGCACACAGCGAATACTACCTCTAAAAGTCATTGTATTCACTATAGAGCGATATCTATTAAATATAATAAATTTTGGGCCTACGTCAACAGTAGAAAAAGTTCTAGTAGAGTTGCTAATAACATAACCTATGAAAATAATACAATGTATATTCCTGCTGACATACTAAATAGTTTTGCTGATCTACGTTCATTCTAAAGTTTTGCATGTTGATGTGAATAAACTTGTTCTTTCCTTGAGTTGAAAAAATAATTGTGATCATCAATACAACGAAGGATATAAAGAAAAAAATATGTTGGACCTTAAAAAATTGGGGATTTATTATTATTGCCTTATCTGTAAGTAGATCAGAGGACCCTCCTTTGATAGTCTAAATAATTTTATAATTTTGCATTTATTTAAAGATTCAAAGGGATCTTCTGCCTAATTTTTCCACTTTGTCCAAAAATATTTGGGCATTATTTGCTTTTCTTTCTGCCTCTTCTATATGGTTTAATTGGAAAAGTAAAATAGACTTCATCAATTTTAAAAAAAAAGTATATTAGAAATAATATTATTATTTAAAGCAATAAGAAAATATATTTTCAGGTGTACCTCAAGGGTCTATTTAAGGTCCTTTATTGTTTCTTATTTATACCTCAGATTTGCCACGTATAAAAGTTTCAAGCGAAAAAATATATCAATTTATAAAAACAATGACAACCACTTACCTATCGTCAAGATCGCGGCTAGAAATATATATGGGTTTAAAATTGTATTTCTCGCGAGCAATATCGAAATCATGAATTTCGGTGTCACAATTTTTCTATTTTCGCCTGTTCGATAAATCGGTGTGTTAGGATAGGAACTAAATTCTTATTTTAATCTCGGACCTCGTTCACTCGTCGATAGTTCTTCCAATAACAGAAAATCCCACCATAGTATAGCAACTCGCGCACAATTTGGTCTGAACAGCGACAAGCTGATATACTGGGTATATCCACGAAGTTAAAATTAAGTTAAAATCGAAATTTATACACGGAATTAGTTAAAAAGAAATATTAACGAAAATTTACTTCATTACAGGGTACCGAATAATAGTCAATTACAACTCTATGCTGATGATACCCAGCTTTTACATTGCTTTGAATCTCTTAATATTCATATTACCAATAATTCAATTAATACTGACTTGCAATTGATCTCTCAGAATTCTAAAGAACACAATTTAAGTATAAATCCATCTAAAACCACTGCGCTTTTATTCTGCAGCAAAACTAAACGGGATTAAATCAAAAATTCGTTAAGGTTAATGGTTAATGGTGTTGATATAAACATATCTGTCGATGCTTAAAATTTAGACCTAATTATTGATCAAAATCTTAGATTTAAAAATCATATAAAAGCAATTCTTCAAAAGTGTTATTATAAGAGAATAAACATATTTTAAACTTTAAAATGCGCAAAAAGGTTTGTGAAACTCTCGTACTATCTACAATGAACTATGGTATTCCGATTTATTTTCTCTGTTTAGATAAAGTATTCAAAACAATTGTAGATACATTTTTAATCTGTGCAAATTTGATCATATTTCACCTCAGTTTACTCAGCTTAAATGGATAAAAATTTGCAATTTGTTTCAAATTACCTTTCTCTTACTTTTATATAGATTAGTAAAAACACATAAGCCTGTCTATTTATTTGAGAAACTTTTATTTAGGAGCTCTATGCATAACATTAGACATAACACCCTTACAATGCCTCACCACTCATCTGTAATGTTAGAAAGGTCTTTTACATATAACGCCGTCAAATTGTATAACTCTTTTAACTTTTTGAACTGGAAGAAATCGTGGTATTTCTTTAGGCGAACTGCAAAAGAACATTTTTTAGCTAGACAGTAGCCTTTTTGTTGTTGTTAATCATATGTTCAATATTTTTTTCGTTAAAAAAAGAGTATTTTTCTTTGCATTTGCTATTATTATGTTCTCCTAGAAGGTTAAGAGGCAAAGAGTAGCTCTAAGCTAATCTTCACCTTTTAGGTTCAAATGTATAGTACATTTTATTATTATTATTAAAATAGCAAATGTCACTGGTGACAAAATAACCAATATTCCCATTGTAAATTTGATTTCCCATGCCAAATACCAAGAGTATTTGTTCTCATACTTTTCATGAGAAAATATTCCTAGTGGATGTGTCGAGAATACAAAATATAAAGTTTCCTGGGGAAAAAATGTCGAGAATTAATCTACAAATACGACAAATACCATCATGTAAATGCGTTGTTGCCGAACATAAAATTTCTTCCTATGATTTAGAGACAAATAGTATTGCAAGCTAATGTATTTACATTATTACCATTAAAAACACCGTATACTTTGTATCAATGTTCAATCAGATTATTGTGTTTTTGCAGCGGACACCAAGGTTGAGGCTTTAGAAATTTTGTAAATAATTCTATCTGTCTTGGTTGTATATCTATGGAAAATAGCATCAGAATACTTTCTAATTCAATACATTGACATACGTAATTATGAACTCGATTTTTAATTAATTCATAGTTCAATTAAGATAAAAACAAAAATATTAGTATTAATATTTGCACATATTTTAGTTACACAAAAAAAGTAGCTGTCTATAATTTTTTTAATGTATATCTGAAGTAACAATTCTTTCACATACTCAAAAATAAAAAATTGCAGCATAGTAGAGAGATATTGCAAGTTCATTTAAGCTTAGCTACTACTAGCATTGCTCTTATTTATCATTTGAGCATGCGCATATCGTATAAGTTCTTAAACTGACTGTCCTTAATTGTGAATGTTTAATAGCAGCAAATGGTAACAACTTAGCTTTCGGATGCGTACGCCAACATTCGTATCAGTTTGAGGTTTTCTAATATTAAATATCATCTATCTCCTAAAATTGACATTTCTAATACCTTTTCCATATTATGTACTATTATAGACAACAACAAATATGAAGCATAATTTAAAGTTTGTAAAATGACGCTAGGAAACTGTATAAAGACAAGAAACTCTAATGTCAAAATTTCAAGTTGACACTATAGACATTTGCAATATCTCTCTATTAATATAAAATGATATTGTTTAGATCTAAGTTATATTGTACAAATTGATATTGAACGAAAATATATTTAAAAAAAAAAACACTTTTTTTAATATACCTCTTTGTTGAGCCCCCCATTATAACGAACGAAAATATTGATAAAAACAACCAAGCAGGAAAAACTACCAACGAGTTGAGTAATCTCCTAGAAATAAGTCTGACCTAAAAAGACGTTAACAACTGCTATATAGTTGGAAAAGAGGAAGGAAAGCAAGGGATATTGCAAGCCGGAGAGGCTAGCCGCGAGCTTAGTGTGCATCCACTTACTCGCAACAGTTAAGCAGTGATCTCTCCGGTTACGTCGTGGATGGGTGACCGCTGGGAGGTTCCACCATGGGCCGTGTCACCATGGGATTCATCCGACTAGCGTTTAACCATCGACGACGTGGAATGAATGAATGAGGGTGGGAATGGGAAAGTAGTAGGACCTTCAAATGGTGGTACAATAAGCCGCAGGCTGCAGTGCTGCCAGACTACAGACGGATTAGGGTGTAGCAGGGGAGGTCTGAAGGGTGTAAAACTAAAAAAAAAAGAGATAGTGCTGGAGTTGACGTCGTTTATAAAAAAACAGGAGTTATATAGAAACATTTCTAAATTAAAAGTAAAAAGGATATCAATCGTAAACGATCTGTGTACCGAAGATCAGGATATTCTAAAAAAATGAAGAATTATATGAAAATTGCAAAAGAAAACAAAAAACAAGCAAAAATAAAAGGAACATTATTGGAAATTGATGGAAAGACCTATACTTTAGAGTAACTCGGTGAAGTGGAACATACTGAAGAAGATGACACTGAAGGCGAAATATCGGAAAGGGAAGAACTTGAAGAGAATAAGCAGAAGAATCGAATAA